GAGAGAGAGAGAGAGAGAGAGAGAGAGAGAGAGAGAGAGTTCCTCTTCTTCCTCTTATAAGTCCACCATCTCTCCCTCACCCTCTCGCTACCTGACTTCTCAGTATCTGCAGACTACGAGAGAGAGAGAGAGAGAGAGAGAGATTGGTGACTTTGGGACTTGGCGACAGTTGGATTCAGACTCGACATTGGGATCGAGACATTGGACGAGCGATTATTTGGGGCATGTATCGAAGACTTGGTGTTGATGGCATTGCCATCTCACCATCTTCTTCGTTTAATCCCCCTCCTCTTCGTTTGTGTATGTTTGGGACTTGTGCATTTCTTCCTGTGTGAGCGCTAGGTCCGGTCACACCATGTGATGATGAGAATGTATGTTGGTCTGCATTGCGACATTGATTGGTCTGATCATTGGTATTTTAGCTTTCCGCTGCGCTATCTTGTACTATGTGAGAGAGGTCGGTTCTTGTTCTGGGATGGTCTGCACCTCTACGGTATGCGACAGTCAAGGAGTTTCTCAGGTTTCCATTAGTCAGAGTGTTGACTTGCAAGTCAGCCAACAGACTCAACTCACACCGGAGGATTATGAGATCCTCCAAGCAGAAGAACTTCATGATGAGCTGCAGTGGCAGTTGAGAGAGGCAGCAGAGAGGAGACAGAGAGCTATATTGAGAAAAGCTAGACTAGGGAGCAGGAGACAGGAGCTAGGGAACTTAGAAACATCAGATGAGTCAACACTTGACCCTGTTATACAAGCATTGCGTAACTCGCTCCTTTGCGTGGCAGAAACGCAGGTTGTTCAGCAGGAAATGCTGGCTGAACTTGTGGCAGGCCAAAGACAAATCCTGGTTACACTGCAGGCTCCTCGTCCATTAATGAGGCAGCCTCAGTATGTTGTGGCTCCCCCTTCGGTTGCGGGGCCCTCAGTGACGCCGTCGCCGGTAGGGCCCTCTTTCTCTCCGACGTTTAGCATGCCTTCTCCAGGTGGTTTAGTAGCAACTAGTGGTCCGGTCCTTAGATCTTCTTCCGTACCATTGACGACGGTGGCAGCTACAGTGCCATTGTCAAGTCAAGCTCAGGTTAGCACGCAGCAACCTGTCTCAGTGGCTATGCGGCCATTGCAGCAATCGCCTGGGTAGATACAACCCATGCAGTGGATGCCCAAGATTCCTTTGTTGAGTCCTTAGCCCTTCTCTGACGACAAGAAGAAGGACGAGGACCTGGATACCTAGGTGAGGACTGTGCCTACCTATGTGAGGCACAAGCTCACAAGACCAGAGCAGGAAGTTATAGTTGCTGCCTCCTTTTTAGAGGGATCGACAGCACGTTGGTTAAACGGGTTGGTGCAGCAGCAGGGCTATGGTCAAAACTTCGATGCCTGGGCTCAGGCTCACACATTGGAAGAATTCGTACGGACTGTGTACAATAGGTGCCATGACCCTCATTGAGCTCAAAAGGCCATCGACGCGATCAACAATCTCTGTGCCAAAAGGTATAAGAATGTACGCGAGATTACAGACACCGTTGAACGTCTGATCGTAGTACCTGGTGTGTGTTATGACCCGCAGGTACTCCTCACAGACTATTTGAGATGTCTGCCCTCAGACGTCAAGAATAGTTGTTGGACGAGGCCTACATTGACCAACATATCTTTGCTACTTTCAGCAAGAAAGCCTTAGATATAGAGGCTAAGTTGTGACCCGTGCATCAGGGCCAATCAGATGGTAGGAAAAAGAGACTTCCCCAAGACTGGAGGAAGAACGGTCAACTCATGTTTGTCGACCACGATGGTCAGGCAACTGAGATTGACGACTTCCCAGACTTAGGGGATGAGACAGAGCAGGATGGGGTCAGCGAGACTTCGGATGGGGGAGTCGTGGCACCTATCAAGGAGAAGGCTAGGGGGACCGGGAAGCAGAAGGTAGGTTGGTCCAAGGGTTAGGGCGACCAAGGAACACCCGCCTGGGTAAAACTCGGTTTAGATTACGAGGTGTTGGCGAGACCGAGTTGTTAGGGGCACGTGCATGAACTGTGGCAACTATGGCCACACATCTAGAACGTGTCGAGGCAAGAATGTCACAATGAAGGTAGCTTCTCCAACGGTGGTGGGCTTATCTTCAAACCCTGGCAGTACTTATGCAAGTACTTCGCAGGGAAACACCTCGGGCCAGTAGGAGTGTTAGTCGCTCTTACTCGTGCTGAAGTGGTAATGTTGCCTTCCCCACTTCAGGTGTTGGCCAAGGCTAGTGACCCATCCATCGCCCCACAGACACATTCAGACCCGCCGATGCTCTGTTCGAGAGATGTGTCTGAGTCCCTAGAAGAGTTACAGACTGAGTGGTCATGGAAGGACCCCAGAGGCTATTAGTAAAGGTTCTAGGGTTGAACATTTCCTGGTAGAGGTTGATGTAGGTGGCCGCAAAGTGGGTGCCTTCGCAGGCATAGGCTCTACACGGAACTTCATCAGTCGTGCTTGTGTGGATAGGTTGCGCTTAGGGGACCAAGTGCAGCGGCTTAGCAGATCTGTAGCAACTATACTAGCCAACAAGCACCGTATGGTTATCCAGGACTATGTCAAGGACGTAGTTTGCACCTTCTCCTATGGAGGAGGGGAAGTGAGACACAAAATCTCATTCCTTGTCAGCGACGAACTGCTATTTTACATGCTGCTAGGTATGTACTACCTCGAGGTTGATCAACCTCAGTTCGATTGGTATAGAAAGGTATTGATCCACAAGTTGCCAACGGTAGAACCGTTAGACTGCAGAAGTTCAAAGCTAGCAGTTTAGTGGAAAACTATGGGTGCATGTGTGCATCTTCCTGCAATAACTACTATAAGCGAATCGCGAGGAAGACATGTATCTAATCTTTGTCTCTGAAAAAGGGGAGGCCGTAAAATCACCCCCAGAGATAGAATCAGTCGTCACTCAGTATTCCGACCTTTTTTAGGAGCCCACATGCGTGGTGGAAAGGGAGGTGGTCCATGCAATAGAGGTTGTCCCAGGTAGTAAGGTGCCTAAAGGACAAATCTATAGGATGCCTCTTATGGAGTTGGATGAGCTCCGCCGACAACTCAAAGAGCTCACAGATAAGGGATGGATTCGGCCTAGTACCTCCCCTCACGGTGCGCCAGTATTATTTGTTCCCAAGAAGGGAGTTACACTAAGGAAGAGCATTGAATATAGGGGCCTCAAAGCCATCACCGTTAAGAACACGGAGCCCCTACCCCGCATCGACGACCTACTGGATAGAGTGCAGGGATGCCGGTACTTCACAAAGATAGATTTGAAGTCAAGTTTATCGTTGTGTACCTCGACGATATCCTTATCTTTAGTATAACTGTAGAGGAGCATGTTGAGCACTTGAAAATAGTGCTAGATCTCCTAAGACAACACCAGTACAAGGTTAACTTGGAGAAATGTGAGTTTGGTCGCACCAAGATCTTGTACTTGGCTCATGAAATTTCTGCGGATGGTTTGAGGTCGGACGATTCCAAAGTGGCCAGCATACGTGACTGGCCCAAACCTCAGACTGTCACGGAGGTCAGATCATTCTTCGGGATGACGGGCTACTATCGTCCGTTTGTTAAAAACTATAGTACTATAACCTCCCCATTAACAGATCTAACTCGCCTTGACACCCCTTGCGAGTGGACAAAAGAGTGTAAGGCAGCCTTCAAGCAATTGAAGTATGCTCTGACACACTATGAAGTCCTCAAACTTCCGGATCCTCAACAGCAATTCGTAGTGGCAGATATTTCTATGTAAGATCTGACCATGAGACTTTGCGTTGGATCAAGACTTAGCCTGTACTCTCTGATGCACTAAAGAGGTGGATTCAAGTGACAAATATGTATGACTGTCAACTTGATCCAATMAAGGGAGAGTATAACAAAGTAGGTGATGCACTATCACGTAGGGCAGATTATCTGGGCGCGCTAGTAACTGAGTTTGGCATATCTGACTGAGTAACTCGATCCTTGGTGGAGGCTTATCAACAAGATCAAGTAATGTTTCAGATCATTTGTAAGTTAGAAGTGAAAGACAAAGTAACTTCTGACGAATTTACAATGGTGAACGACTTGCTGTTTCTTGAGAAGGTAAGGAATAAGAGGTTATGTGTCCCAGATAGAGAGTCTCTTCGTAGTTTATTTTTAGGAGAGTGTCATAATGCAACTCAGTGTTGCACTCGCCGACCGTCGGCGCCCCCCGATCCGGCGGCCGCCGACCCGCCGACCGGTCGGTCGGTCGGCGCCGACATGTCGGCTGCAGTCGGGGTGCCGCACTTTTCCGCGGCGGCGGCCCGAACTGCAAAGGCCCCATTTTTGGGGTCTGGGCCGGTCGGGGGGTGGTCGTCCGTTCGCCGCGCGGCTTGGGAGGCCGCCGACCTGTCGGCACCGACGTTCCCACGGTCGGCCAGCCTTTAAAGACATTGACTCCCCACCTTGTTCTCGGTCTCTCACGGTGGCATTGTGGGCAGCCGTTAGCGTGGGCAGCCGTGAGTGTGAGCTGCTGTGCTTGGGAGGGTTACATG